ACGCGGCGCACGTGGCGCATCTGGCGCGCGACGCGTGCCTGGCACGCTTGGGCCCCGACGGCGCCCGGTGCACCTGGAGCGCTTGGCACGCGTGGAGCACCTCGTCCCATCGCGCACATGGGGTCTGTACTGTACCCCAGTAGCTGCCCATCATAGCCGACCAATGAATATGTTGAGGCCCAGGTGTTACTCATGCGTTGGGGGGGCGGGCGGGAGCGAGCGAAGCAGTTTGAGGGCGGGGAAGGTGTTTCGATCGCTGTTCCCTTTTAATTATTCCGTCGGTCGGACCCCGCGCGGGACTCCCCTCGGCGAAGCTGGAAGTAACCCTCATCGTCGTCCTCGTGATTGTGGAGGCGTCCTCGCAGTCTCCTCTGCGTCGTTCTCTTCCTCGCCTTGGCGCAGGGTTTTCCTTCCGCTACCTGCGCTGCCCCCTCCTCGCCTTTTTCTGGTTCATCCCGCGCCACCTCCTCCCCTTCCTCTTGCGTGAGCACGCGTGTCGTTTTCCCTCGGCGCCGTCGCTGCCTCGGCCAGCGCGGGCGCAATCTCTAGTTGCCACATTGCGCCGCAGCCGCCGGGGCGACCCGGCGGGCCAGGCCGTCGGGGCTACCCCGCGAGCCGCTGTCGCGCGAGACCTAGCCGCTGGGGGCCCCCCCATGGCTTCGAACGGGGCGCCGCCGCGCTCCGGCGGGAGGCAGCGCGAAGCCCAGCTTTACCGCGAGCTGCTCGCCTTGGCCCTGGAACTCCTCGCTCTGACGTCGAGCTCCAGGAGCGCCGCGGCCGCCACTGGTCGTCTAACGTGCCCGCGCGGCCAGCGCCCTCGCTCCTCGCTTAATCGATGGTGGCGCCCTTGCGCAGCGTCTGGCCCTGCGACAGCGCGGAGGCGAGGCGGGGCGCGCGCGTTGCGGTGGGCCCCGAGCGGCGCGCGGCGCGCGGCCCCGAGTTTTACCGCGTGCGTTCCTGCTCACTGGGCCTGAACATGAGGAGCCTCCGCGCCTGCGCCTCGGCCTGGCCGTCTTTGTCGGCGCTGCGTCGCAGCAGCTCGGCGACCTCCTGGTAGATCGGAGACTCCTTGACACCGCGCGCCTGCAACCAGATCCCCTGCGGTAGGAAACGGCGGCGAAAGAGCTGGCCTGGCGAGCGCCCAATCGCGCCGCTGCTCGTCCTCGGGGTGGAACTCGAAGGACGCGATGATGGCCCGTTGCTCCTGCGCGAGACCCAACTTCTTCTTCAACTTTTCCTGCGCTGCGGTGGATCGCACCTCCATGCCAACGTGGGCCGGCAAAACGCCGTGGATGTTCCCCATCTTATGCATGTTCGGGACGTTCAGGAAACGCCGACCCGCGTCGGGATCGCCCTGAATCGTGTTGCACTCGTCCACGGCCTGCAGGAAAAACGAAGGGCACGCCCAGACGCCGTGCGTCGCGACGAACGCGCATGTTGATCCACCTCGCCAGCGTCTCCCAGTAGATACTCATGCCGTAGCCAAGCCGCAAGTTCTCGTGCTGGTGCCGAGGGTACAGGAGTCCGATGACCCGCCTCGAATTCAAACATGAAATGTGGCCCCCATAGGGAGTAGGCTCCCGCCTGAGATTTCCTAGCAATTGATTTATAAACGAGGCTCCCGAAACTTCCTCCATTGTCAGGCCCCAAGAGCCCAAACGTGACGACAGTTACAATGTTCCGATGGCCCGCCCGGATTAAAAACATGAGCTGCGGGCCCATTGGGATGGGCTCCCGCTTGAGACGTCCTCGCAATACACTCACAGACGAAGCTCCCGCACTATACTTTCTTTCTCCATACTTAGGCCCCAGGAGCCTAACAGCGACGACACTTACATCGTTCCGATGACCCGCCTCGGATTTTGAACAAAAGCTGTGGGCCCCATAGGGGAGAGGGCTCCCGCTTGAGACTTCCTCGCAGTTCGCTCACAGCCGCCTGATACCTCCTCCTGCTTTAAACCTCAAAGGCCCGATGGACGACACTTAAGCAATTCCCGATGACCCGGATTAGAACCATGAGCTGCGGGCCCCCGAAGGAGGGAACTCCCGCGTGAGACTTCCTCGCGATTCACAAACGAGGCTCCCGCCTGAAACTTCCTCCATACCCAGACCCCAAAAGCCCAGACGTGACGACAATTACAAGTTTTCGATGAACCGCCTCGGACTTCGAATATGAACGGCGGACCCCATAGGGCGGAGGCTCCCGCCCGAGACTTCGCCGCGATTCAGTCACAGACGAAACTCCCGCCTGATGCCTCCCTCATATTCAGACCGGATGACCCGGTCGGAATATAAACAAAAGATGCGGGCCCCATAGGGCGGAGGCCTCCGCCTGAGACTTCCTCGCAACTCACTAACAGACGAGATTCCCGCCTAACACTTTTCCCATATTCAGGCCTCAAGGGCCCAAACGTGACGACAACTTATAAGTTTCCCGATGACCCGCTCGGGGTTCAAACGTGAATTGCGAGCCCCAGAAGGAAAGGGCTCCCGCCTGAGACTTCCTCGCAATTCACTTACAAACGAAGCTCCTGCCTGAAACTTCATCCATACTTAGGCCCCAGGAAGCCAAACATGACGCAGTTACAAGGTTCCGATGACCCGCCTCGGATTTCGAATCTGAATTGTGGGCCCCATAGGGCGGAGGTTCCCACCTGAAACTTCCTCGTAATTCACTCACAGACAAACCTCCCGCCTTATATTTCCTCGTAGTTCACTCACAGACGAACCTCCCGCCCGATACCCCCCCAGATCCCGGCCTCAGGGGCACAGAAGTGCATTTTAAACATGTTCCGATGACCCGCTCGGATTACAAGCGTGAGCTGCGGGCCCCATAAGGAGGGGTTCCCGCCTGAGACTTCCTCGCAATTCACTCACACACGAGGCTCCCGTCGGACTGGTGCAGTGCTCCGACGAGGCACTGTCGGCTCACGAGGCTCCCGTCGGAGCCCACAAGTGACGACTGTTACAGGGTTCCGATGGCCTGCTCGGATTACAAAAATGAATTGTGGGCCCCATAGAGAGGGGGCTCCCGCCTGAGACTTCCTCACAAGTCACAGACGAGGCTCCCGCCCGAGACGACACACAGGCAAGTGATGATGATGATGATGATGGTGGTGATGATGATGATGATGATGAGGAGGAGTATGATTATGTGAGTGATGCTGGTGAGGATGAGGCAGGTGGTGATGATGGTGCGTGAATGATTTAATGCGTGAAAGAACCACTCAGGAAAAGTGAGTGAGCGAGTGGAAGAGTGAATCAGTTATGCGTGCGTGAGAGTGATCGAGAGAGGGTGCGATGGTGATGTGAGTGTGGGTGTGAAAGTGAGAAAGAGGCCAAAGAGACCGTCATCAAGAGAGACCGTCATCACGGTCTCTCTCGCAGAGCGAGTGGGTAAGATATGGATGAAACCAAGTGTTCGAAATAATGTGAATGAGTGGGTGGACGACTTTGCGGCTTGATGGAGATGCTGGGGTAGTGGTAGTGATGGTGAAACATATGACGATTGATGCCGATGATGTTGATGTTGGTGATGATTTTGATGTTGATTATGAAGCTGATAATGATAGGAGACGTGGGTGTGAAGAGGAGAGGGTGTGGGAGGACTGCGCGTGGTGCCCAGAGAAAACAAGAAGCCAACTTAGGATGTGAGGCGTGAAAACCCTCCTTCAAGCGACCGGCAGCCAACCAGATCATTGAGACCCCCCCCCACCATCCGTCCCCCCAAAAAATAAAATCAACTCAAGGGGAAAATCTTGGGACATGATCGAGGGGGTCGCCAGCACTTTGTGTTGTATTTTGACAAGGACGGTGGGGGTGCCTTCGTGTTGCCTGCTTTGCGCAAGACCACCACCTCGGTCAACAACACAATACATAATGCACTTCACGGCCCTGCGATGAGTGTCCATTGGTTTTTGACTGGTCAGCGGGTGTGTCAGCATATTGCCTGCTATGTGCAAGCCCACCAGAAGCTATGATGGCCACCCCGCCGCGATCGCGCACGGGATTTCGACAAGGGCGATAAGGGCCGACACGTTTCCAGATATGTACTGCCACATGCGCAGGCGCCCCTGGCACAATCTGCGCGTGCCCCAGACGTGGTGCACCTGGCAAGGTTAAAACATGCGGCACACATGGTGCACGTGGGTCACGTGGCGCATCTGGCGCAGGTGTGAAAGGATCCTCATTGGCCTCGGAGAGAAAACCATCCTCACTCATTGTATTCAGGTTTTGGCTACATTTTGGCCTCCTCGGGGGGGGGGTGCTAATTGAGGAGCCCCCCTTCTCTAATCGAGCTCCTCCAAGATGGCCCAAGAGGATTGTAAGAGGCGCCCAGGATGCCCCACCAAGATGCCCCCAAAGGGTTCCCAAGAGACCCCTTAAGAGGCCCCCCAAAACACCCAAGACGCTTACACCCGACGAGGCTCCGAGAGGCATCCAATAAACCCCTGGCCTTCATGTTCGCCCTACTCCTCTTCCTCATCCGCCTCATCCTCCTCCTCCTCCCTTTCCCATCTCCCTGCTCCTCCTCCTCCTCCACCTCTTTTTCCTCCTCCTCCTCGTCCTCCTCCTATGGTTCTTCCTTCTTTCTTCCACGGCGTGCTCCCCCCACATGCCTGCTCAAGGCAATTCGCCCCGGGCATCGTTTCTGAATGGGCTGGTGGGGATACTTTTCGGTCGCGGCCGCGCGACAACGGTCTGGCGGCGAGAGGCAATGTCCGGGGCGGGCGGCACAAAGCGAATTGGCGACCCCAACCGCCACGTTGGCAGGCCGGATCGCACCTGCACAACAAGTGTGCAGTTGCACATGCACTGAACAAAATGCTCTGCATTCACCAGCAGGCGCACCTAGGCGCCGCCCTACCTGGTGGGGTTACGCGAAGCGTCTAGAAGGTGCGCGCCACCTTGAAAACACATCCGGCTCCCGCACTCCACTCGATAACGATATTTGAGGCATGGCGCTCTCGGCCACCCGCGCGCCGCCCCATCCCGGTGTCCTCGCGGCTTGCCCGTCTCTTTGTCGAACATGACGACCGCGTCGACGATGTTGCCGTAACTGGCAGCGATGCTCTCAAGCGGGCAGGGGGGGAGGGTTCGGCGAGCCCCTCCCTGCCTCATGCAGAGCGTTCCGTGGCAACTCCATTGGGGCCTCCCGTCACATCTACGCTGGCTCTTGCGAATCGACGCTGGCCGAGGCCACTCGACGCTAGGTCGACGCTGATCTAATTACGCTGAATCTCCACTTTCTCATCGATGATCAGGCGCTGGTGCACGCCGATGCACTCTGACGACGGAACCTCGAGGACATGCAGGGCGCCCAAGAGTGGCCACCGAAAGAACCATCAGTACTCATACAGGGCAATTTTCTTTTAATACATGGGATTTAACAAATATGGGATTTTTCATACATGAGGAATTTTTGAATAAATTTATGCATGAACTCATCGTTGTTGTTAATACTAAACCCCTGCATTTTTAATACATGATCCGCACGTGGAGCATGTATTAAAAACGGCACTGTACGCCCCCGCCTCCTGATTGACCGGGCGAATCGTGCCCCGCTTGCGGCCAGCTGTGCACTGTGCAGCCAGATCCCGCCCCCGGAGGCTCAAACTCGGACCCACCTGCCGCCCTTCCAGGAGCCGCGAGCGCGCAGCGCTTCGGGACGCCGCAAGGAAACCGCCACGCGCGAATGCCTGACGCAAGCAGCACGACAGCGAGCACGTGAAAGGGCGGCGCGCAGCGGCGTGCAGAGGGCCGCGAGGAGGGGGGGGGGCGGGGCGCGGGGACTGTTTTCTGAGGTCCCTTCGCGGAGGCCTCGGGAATCCCAGGAAGGGCCGACAACTTCTCGAGACCCCCTTGCAAGATGGCCCGCTTCCAGCGGGGGGCCGGACAGAGGCACGGCAGATGCGCATAGGGTACGACATCCAGCTGCTGGCAAGGCATCTGGGGACACAGTTGTCCTCGTCTTTGAACTTCGTGACGGGCTCAAGGGCTTCTGTGGGCCCGCAAGATCATGGGAGGATACGACATTTCCACGGGACCTCTGCTGGCACAGCTTGCCTGCTGCGCTCATATAAATATAATAACATAACACATTATCATATGAGGCATCCGTTGTGTCTTCATTGCGCTGGTCGCGCCCGCATAATTGTAACCGATCTTGTTGTATCGATGCCTACAGGCAGTCCCGCGCGGGCCCGGCGCGCATGTTTCGCTCGCCGAGTCGCGTGAGAGCGGCAGCGGCAGCAAGGGTCGCGCGAGAGCGAACGAAGTGCTGTCCGCGCCCAGAAGCCTCACAGCGCGTGCGTGCCAGAAGGCAGATTTGCTGTCGCGCGGAGCGTGGTTCGCCATCGCAGGGCTCGTCGGAAATCGAGCCGCCCGAAAGAGGGCTTAAATGATCTCGCCGCAACGCCGCGCATGCGCTCTCACTGCAATCATCACTTTGGACGCCCGAGGTGGGTACGGAAAAAATTGGTACAATGCCCAACAACAAATGCTGTCCCAAACCAACAGCGGCCGCTGTTGGGCAGGGGGCCTTCTGTCTCCAAATGGACACAGGCCACGGCGGCGCGGACAGCGAGTCCTGCTCAAAAGGAACAGGAACTGCTGTTGAGCATTGTGCCCATTCTTTCCGTGCCCATCTCGCTCGCTCAGAATAGAGGCCTCCTGGATGGGGTCGGAGTAGATGGGGTCGGAGGACCGCGCCGCATCGCCGATACATCGGCGATACATCGGCGATGCATCGGCGATGCATCGCCGATGCACCGGCGATGAGGCGTCGACGACAGCGATGTATCGGCGGCGTCGGCGTGGAGAAAATCGGGCTCCGCATCGAGCCGCATCGTCGATGCATCGGCGATGCGGCGCGATCCTCCGACCCCATCTGCTCGGACCCCATCTAGGAGGCCTAAACAGAATCACCCCACTCCGAGGGAAGAGGCGGCCGCAGAGCCGGTGCACACCTGCCGAAGTACCTCCGGAGCACCTCGAGCGTGGCGGTGGGCCTGGCTGGGCGGAGGCCGGGGAGGGACGCGGGGAGCCGGCAGCCTCCCCGGCTGCTGCGGGGGGCGCGGGGGGTGCGGGGGGGGGGGAAGCGAGGAGGTGGCCCTTCTCCTTGGCTCCGTACCTCCTTCCTTCCCTCCTCCTTGGCTCCTTCCTCCTTTCTCTCCCTCCCTCCCTCTTTTCTTCCTCCTCCTCCTCCCTCCTCTTCCTCCTCCTCCTCCCTCCTCCTCCTCTCCTCCTCCTCCTCCTCCTCCTCCTCCTCCTCCTCCTCCTCCTCCTCCTCCTCCTCCTCCTCCTCCTCCTCCTCCTCCCTCCTCCTCCTCCTCCTCCTCCTCCTCCTCCTCCTCCTCCGCCTCCTCCTCCTCCTCCTCCTCCTCCTCCTCCTCCTCCTCCTCCTCCTCCTTCCTTCTCCACCTCTTTCTCTTTCTCCTCCTGCTCCTCCTCCTCTTCCTCCTCCTCCTCTTATCCTCCCCCTTCGAAAACCATTTTGGCTCAACGTTTTGGCTGTCCCCGACAATGATACGGATACTACTGATCCGCGGCTAGCCCAATGCGTTCAGGCCCTGTGCAACGCTTTCCAAGGGTACGTCTTTCGCTTTCTTGTCCACGCCGAGCTGCGCGTTGGTGTGAAGGCAAATAATCACGGCCAGCTCTTGGTTCCGAAGGGCCCTCCTCTTGGTCTTCGGACAGCTATGGGTTACGAGCGAAGACGCGAGAGTGCTGAGCCTTGCTGTTGCAAATTGTGCAAACAAGAGTTTGCCGACACGCCATGAATCATCAGGTCTGATCACATGTGGTGTCCACAGCGCGGCTCACCCAAGAACTCAACGTTCAAGTCCAGAGCCCCAAAGAACTGCCAACCACTCGCGCGCTCGCCATGCAATCAGCTCGCGAGCAAGCAGTGGTGCGGCAACTGGAGAGGTTCTTCAGAAGAAGGCTCACAGCTCAAAGGGGCTAAGGAGGAAGCGGCAGCGGCGGCAGCAACGCTTGAGACTGACGCGATCGCGTCCAGCATCTTGCGAGCATTGTCGCGGCGATGGGCGTCGGCAGCCAAGGTGAAAATCACCGATCACATAGGTTCCTGGTCGAGAAGCACAGGCTGGAAGTCGAGATCGGACTCGGACTCGGACTTGCCATAAAAAAGCCAGCGGGGGCAGATCATTAGAAGACAGGGAGAGAAGCAACAAGGATGCCAGCAAGAGAAACAGCTTGCACGGTATACGATAAGCTGCAATGCTCACACAATCTGGGTGTGGGAAGTGCTCTGGCAACCCCAGGGCGTCCAATCAACGAAATTGCCTTTCGGGGCCGGCCCTAACATGCACACGGACAGTTAGTCCCTCTACATGGGATGAGTACTCCGCGCGGTTGAAACACCACTAGAATTCCTAAACCTGATCATGCATGCTCGTACTGTCTACACCTATGCTGTTACATTGTGCTGGGGCGTTGTGCGTGTCAATGGAAACCATATTAAGCACAACGACAATATGGAAGAGAGAAGAAGATCATTCAGATAGGGTGTAAAATTAATGCCGACATGCTCTGAGGGTCAGAGGTGAATATTATGTCTGAAGCTGCTTTTCTTGCAAGACATCGGCCGCCCATATTTTCTTCGGTCTGCTTGGCTGTCGCCGTGCTTGCTATTCGTCGTTCTCCGGCGGGTCCCGCAATGGAGTTTTCTGCATCCACGAACTAGTTCCTTTGTCGCCATCCGAAAAACACGCTTACTTTTACGCCGCCTCTTGGCCATCCACCGAGTCAATACGCCGCAACTGTTTCACGCTGTCTTCCTCTGTTCTCGTAGCTCTTGGTATCCGTTCCGCAAAGGGTTCAAATGCATCTTCTTCTGGTTTCTCGGCCCGTCCGACGGCCGAGATCCAAGCCGACGAACGCCTCGAGGCCGACGGGAGGGCAGCCGCGGCACCGGCGTTTGCTGGCCGCCCCGCGGCCCCACCTCGGACGGACCCCAGGTCGGCACTGCCTTCCTGGGGGTGCGAGGGTCTTGTCTTCCTCCTCCTCCTCCTCCTCCTCCTCCTTCCTCCTCCTTCCTCCTCCTCCTCCTCCTCCTCCTCCTCCTCCTCCTCCTCCCTCCTCCTCCTCCTCCTGATGGCCTATGGGCCCCGAGGGTGTTGGTATACGGCACGGGGTGGCCGCTTCCCTGCGGAGCACAACCACTGAGGGATAGCTCATCCTCATCCTCCTGCTTCCTCCTCCTCATTCCTCCTGCCTCCTCCTCCTTCTCGTCCTCCTCCTCCTCCTCCTCCTCCTCCTCCTCCTCCTCCTCCTCATGCTTCCTCCTCATTCCTTCTCCTTCTCCTCCTCCTGCCTCCTCCTCCTGCCTCCTCCTCCTCCTCCTTCTTCTTCCGCCTCCTCATCCTCCTCCTGCTCCTCCGTCGTCCTCTCTCGTCACGCCACCAGACGCGTCGGTAGGACGGAAGGAGCGTCTCGCCTCAGACGTCATCACTGCCTGCGGATGCTCCTGAACCTTGGGGTGTCCAGGACTCTCAGATGAAGGGCAGGTCGGCTTCAATCTCTGGCGCTGGTTGCAGCACACACTGTGGAAACCCAACGGGGATGGAGGGCGGGTCGTCTTCGAAACGCGGCTCTCTCGCCCTGACGCCGAGCACATCCGCCCCACAACGTCCGGAGCCCACATGCATGGGGATGCGACGTAATTTCGGGACGGAAGCTCTCGCTTCAGCGTCGCGCTCCCTGGTCATGCACGCTTCCATATGGCCGCAAGACTTGGGGGCGGCTCATTTACAAAATGAGGCTCTCGCTGGAGTCTTTGGCGGCGCGCACAGGGGGGTGGAGGGAGGGGGGATGGCTTCTTAGAAAGAGGCTGCTCCTTAGAAGGCGCCGGCCTTACATCTATAGGTAAGGCCCGCGCCTTCTGAGAAGCAGGGGTGCTTCTAAGAGGCCCTCCGCCCTCCCCTCACCCCCCTCTGCGCGTGGCTGAAGCCTGCCTCGAAATGTCCGCATGCGGGGGTGAGAAGGCGTGTGAGATGACTGGCTGTCCCGCTCCCCCTCTGCCCCTTCCCCAGGGCCCAACACCGACATCTCGTTTCAAGGTTGGAGGCCTGGAGATGGGCACCAACACCAACAGAGGGGGCTGCCTCCACAGGGGGAAAACGATCCTGGATTTCGGTGTTGGTGGCAACATTTCGGCCACCTTGGAAGCCATACTATTGCCACCATCCCCGAGATCGGATCGTCTTCCCTCGGTGGAGGCACACCGCCGATCTTGGTGTTGGTGTCAACCTCTAGGCCTCCGAAAAGGGATGGGAAGGGGTAGGGCTATCGATCGGACTCGCCGGCGCACCCCCAGAGACTCCAGAGCCTCTAAATCTGCATTCCGTGGGGGGTTCCAGGACGGTGCCGGATCGCGGAACGATTGGCCCAAGACGCTCACGATGGCTCCAAGATGCCCCAAGAAACCTTCGAGACGCCCCAAGAGCCTTCCCAAGAGGGCCCCGAGGCAACAATCAATGGCTTTCCTTCGGTTCTTCATTCTTTCTGGCGTCATCGTCTTCTCGAGCTTCCGACGCTCCCAGACGGTCTAAGAGGCCCAGTAGACCGTTCCAAAACTGCCCAAGAGGTCCCTGCGAGGGCCCAACCACGGCCCAAGAGGGTTCTCAGACGGCCCAAAGAGGGGTCCAAGACGGCCAAAGATCGCCCCAAGAGGGCCCCAAGAGACGCAAAGAGGGAGAACTCGAACCGAACATCCTGGTCCCCCCCAAAGATCCCAAGAACCCTCCCCAAGCGGACCAAAAGAGGCCTCCAATAAGCCTCAAGAGGCCCCCAAGAGGCCCAAAAGAGGCTGCAAAACGGGCCCCAGGACGCTTCACACCTACCTCCAACGTGTTGAATCCACGTCCGGAGGTGACGTGCTGAGCGGCAGCGTTTTCTGCGGAGGCGACGATGTAACGTGTCCAATGTATCCAATGATTGCAGAATTGCCACATATTGTGTTGTGTTACATTATTATGTCTCCCCCTTAACCCCCCCTGGGAGCTGCGCCACAGGAACGGACCAAAGTGTCCCCCCCCCCCCTCCCGGGGCTCAAAAACTTACCAACACCTATAGAACGTCTATGATTTCGACCTCCTGGGCCTGTTGGGGGGCCAAGAGGGCGCCAAGACGGCTCAAGATGGGCTCTGTGCGGGCCAAGACGGCCCCGAGACGGTCCAAGATGGCCCCAAGAGGGCCCAAAAAGTCCCAATGACGGCCCATGAGGGCCCCAAGAGCGCCCACAACTGCGCCTCCAGAGGCCGAAATCATTGATTTCCCTATGGTTTGGTAATCCTTTAGCGTTCTCGCCTTGGCGGCCCAAGCAGCTTCCTAAATCGCTCCAGAACAACCCAAGAAACCCACAAGAGGGCCCCAATACGGCCGAACAGAACCCCAAGACGGCCCAAATAGGCCCCCAAGACGGTCCAAGAGTCCCCTATGACGGAACAAGAGGACCCCAAGACGGCCCCAAGGCGGCGGCCCCCAAGACGGCCTCCGAAAAGGCGAAACGGCGCAAAAGCGCCCCAATACGGCCAAAGACGCCCCCAAGAGGCCCCAAGAGGCCCCCAAGAGGCCCCCAAGGGGCCCCAAAAAAGCCGCCAAGAGGCTTCCAAGATGTCTTCAAGAAGCCTCCCAAAGGCTCCGAAGAAGCCCCCCAAAGGCCACACAGCGACTGGAGTGCAATGCCATTTTTCCAAGCCTGGGCGAGTGTAACTGCGGCGCAGCGCCAGCCAGGTGGAAGTTGGTCGCAGCGGCGCCCATGATTAGAGCCGGCGCTGGAAGGAAATATGGGGAGGGAGTATGAAAAGGAGGGAGGGGGTAGAGACCCCAAAGAAGTCCCCAAGAGGCCCAAGGAAGCTCCCAGGAGGCCTCCAGGAGGTCCCCAAGAGGCGACGACGTGACTGTACGTGCTCCGGACGTGCACCCCGCGAAGCGAGAGGAATCCACGTCCGGAGGTGACGTGCTGAGCTTCAGCGTTTTTCGGCGAACGCCTTGATATGCAACGTATCCCATGTATCCCATGCTTGCAGAATTCCTACAGATTGCACTGTGTTGCATTATTCTGTCTCCCTTCCTAACCTCCCCTTGGGGTCGCGCCATTCCGCCGGACCAAGATGACGCCGCCCTTCTCGGGCTCTCAGAACCTGTCAAAAACCATCGGGAATCAACGATTTGGGCCTCTTGGGCTTGTCGGAAGCTCAAGAAGGCTGCAAAATTGCCCAAGATGGCCTCGGGGCCGGCCAAGACAGCCCGAACACGGCGCAAGATGGTCCATCTAGGGCTCGTGAGGCCCTCGAGACGGCCCAAGAGGGCCCCAAGAGCACCCACAACAGCGCCTCCAGAAACCGAACTCATTGATTTTCCGTTGGTGTTCGATGCCTGCAACGTTCTCGCCCTGCTCGACTCTCAGAGGCCCATGGCGGTCCAAGCAGCCTCCGAAATTGCCCCCAGACGGCCCAAGAAGCCCAGAAGAGGACCGAAAGACGCCCAAAGAGGCCCCCAAGACAGTCCCAGAGGCCCCCAAGACGGCCCAAGAGGACCCCAAGATCGCCCCAAGGCGGCCCCGAGAGGCCCCCAAGACAGCCTCCGAAGGGGCCGAACGGCGCAAGAGCGTCCCAAGACGGCGCAAGAGGCGCCCAAGACGCCTCAAGAGGCCCCCAAGAGGCCCCCAAGAGGCCCCCAAGAAGCCTCAAAGAGGCCCCAAGAACCATCCAAGACGGTTCAACACACTTCCAAGAGACCTCCAGGAATTCCGCAGAGGCACCCGAGGGAGCCTCCAACAGGCCCCAAAGAAGCCCCCAGGAATTCCCAAGAGTGGCTCCAGAGGTCTCCAAAGAACTGGACTGGACATCCTCCGAGCAACTCACAGAGGCCCTCCAGAGGCCCTAATGGCATTGGCAGCGCCCCAGTTCGGGCATGACGACACGGCAGACCGGCGTGACAGACGTGCAGGGGAAACCACCAGACGCCCAGTCTTTACGTGCTCTGGGCGTGGACCCCGCGAAGCGAGAGGAATCAAGTCTTGCAGCAATCAAGCGAATTGAGGGCGGCTTCTTTTCAAATCGGGGTTCTCGCTTGATTCTTCCTAGTGAATGACGGCGAGAAATGAAAGAGTGTGCCACAGTTGCACGGATGGAGGTCGGCTTCGTTTGAAAGCGGTGCGCCCGCTGGACTCCTCCTTCTTCAACTACACATGATTCGACCCCTTCGCATCTCTTATTTTCCAGAAGGGTGCAGGGCAATTCCTTGTCAAAAACTGGGGCTCCGCCTGAACGAGAGAACTGCCCATGGGACGACCGTCTTTCAGGGGGTGCGTCCTGCAGTGAAGAGGAATGGTCGCAGGGACTTGGGAGGGTACCAGGAACGAGGTAATGTATTGAAATATGGATGGTCCTGAACTTCCTCTGGTCCTCCTCCTCCTCCTCCTCCTCCGCCTCCTCCCCTCCTCCTCCCTCCTTCTTCGCACGTCGCGCCGTAGGTTGTCTGTTGAGGGCGTATTAGGGGCTCCCGCAAGCGGGGGAAAGGAAATGAAGGAGGGGAGGAAGAGGAGGGGAGGAAGAGGACGGGAGGACGAGGAGGGGAGGAAGAGGAGGGATGGAGGGGAATGAAAAAGAGAAGGAGGAATAGGAGACTTTAGCCTGCTCAACGGAACCTCTGAAACGGCACACGGCGTACACAAGCACTGTTGTGTACACAGGCATGGAGGTGCACAGACGCCGTGCGGTGCACACGTGTACGCAGACATTCAACACACAGGGGAGGAACTGCACAGCGGGTCAAACAAACAATAAATGATCACGCATACCTTTCATGTTGAACTTGATACGTTCGCCCACCCCGCAGTTTCCCAGATTTGGGCCCCGTCGGGAAACTCGAGGTGCACACGCGACGATCACGACGATGACGACGATAACCTGCTTGCGAGCACCACAGTGCGCCTGCGAACACGAACAGCAACGCACGAAGGCACAACAGTGTCTCGGACACTGACAGTTCTCAAGTTTATGAGAGATCAGCGCCGTGCCTGCGGGCACCACGATAAAACCTGTGAGCACCACAACGTGCCTACGAAGACCACAGTGCGCGAGCAGCAACAACAACAACAACAATTACTAGCACGTGGGGACACTCCGTTCTCACCAGTGCCAGGGTTTTCATAGGAGGCGGGCAATACCCCCACTTTGTGGGGGGGGCCGGTTCAAGCTCTACCAAATTTCCAAACGACTCTTCGCCACCACCCACACCCAGCTTCCCGCCCTATGACGTTCGGACACTTCACTTCGTGGCATGCGGACGACCGTGGCTACTATTCAGGGCCCCGCGGCCGACGACGACGGCGTGCGCGCGCGAAGAAAAAACGAATGTGTCCCGCATGGTATTATTTGACAGGGATGATGGCCCTGGCAGGTGCGCAACCGTTGTTGCAGAAGTTCGAAAAAGTTGCTAGCAAAAGCCCGTTTGACAGAAATGTTTAAAAAGTGTTGGGTTTCCTACGAATCCGCAAGAGCGCGCGGGATGAATTTTGACATTGTTTTTGAAAAACCATTGGTTTTTTGATGTTTTTATGTTAAAATCGCTACGAAAACTAAGGTTTTGGAAGGATTTCGTCTTGCGCGCGCGAATGTCCACTTTACCTTATTTTTTGCAAGGGATTCTTGAAGTTTGGTTATGTTAGAACAAGAAATGTCCACTTTAGCTTATTTTTTGCAAGGGAAAGCGGGCGTCAACAAAACAACGGATCTGGTACACATCGTTTTGCCTGAGGCTTCCTCACGAAAATGATGAAAACATGGCTGCGGCCTAGGCGCGGCGAGGGGGGCGTGCACCAGGGGGCCCAACAATAATTATTCTTTAGAAGTAATAATATTCAACAACAACACCAGCACCAACAACAACAACAAGAGCAACAAGAGCAACAACAGCAACAACAGCAAAAACAGCAACAACAGCAACAACAGCAACAGCAACAGCAACAGCAACAACAACAACAACAACAACAACAGCAACAACAACAACCAACACACGAATGCACAAACGTGCCGGACAATGCCAGCAGCGCACTATTGCCCGCGAGCACCACGATATGCATGTGAACACCACGGGACCCTGCGAACATCGCGACGTGCCTGTGAGCGCCGCATTAGAAGAAGAAAAAACGCCATGTAACACAAACTTCTGGCGCTCCGCGCGGATTTCTTGGATCTGCGCTGGACCCCCTTCCATTGGGCGCGGAGCGCTCCAGGGGCGGCGCCGGAGGCGCCGCCGGGGGGGCCCCAGCGCAGATCCAAGAAATCAGTGCGGAGCGCCAAAAGTTTATGCTTACGACGCTTTCTCATCTTCGACGCATGCCTGTGTACACCACGTACCACCTGGCTGTCCACACCACCCTGTGATGACCTCTCTGTTCCCTTCTTCCTCTCTGCTCCTCATCGTCCTCTCTGTCCTTCCTCCTGAGCACGAAACGGGCCTGAGAGTACCGCGGCGCGCCTGTGAGCAACTATGCCTGCGACCACCAGCCGGTGAGGGCACGCGGACCATGCCAATGCCACGCCTGCCTGCGACCGCCACATCTAAGAGCACCAACACTGAAATTATGCTGGGCCCTACCAGTGTCACGATACCCCACAACCGCCGTGATGTTCGTGAGCGGAGGCGCTGATCCTGCGAGCACCGCATTCTGCCTGCGAGCACCGCGGTGTGCCTGCAAGCGCAGCACTACCGCGCAAGCGCCACAGCATGCAAGGTGCGCGTGGCCTGCGAACGCTACCACGTGCTTGTGAGCGTGCGGGTGGAGGGGAGGTAGCGTGATGAGTGGGGGGTGAGGGCGGGGCGAAACCTCCTCAGGCCTGCAGCATGCAGGCTGCAGCCCCTGACCCAGACCGGAGGGAGAACTGGACCTCTGCTGGTCGCTCCTGGCCACCTCCGCGCTGCCCGGGCGGCGGGCGCGGGCAGGGCCACAACGCACATCAGAGGAGGAGGAGGAGGAGGAGGAGGAGGAGGAGGAGGAGGAAGGAAAGAAGGAAGAGGAGGAGGAGGAGGAGGAGGAGGAGGAGGAGGAAGGCATTGTGCCACCCCCTGAAACAAAAAAAAAAAAAACTACCGTCGGCGTCGTCGGCGTCGGCGGTCCGCCGACGGCGCTCCAGCGCGCCCCCCCGCAGCCCGCTGACGGCAGCCCGCCCACGAAGAGCTTCTCGGCTCCCGCCGCACCGCCTGCCGGCGCGTTGGGGTGTGGGCACGTCTGCCTGCCTTTCGAAGAGAGGGCGGAGGGGAGGAGGGGGGGAGGAGGAGAAGGAGGACGAGGAGGGCGACTGAGGATGATTGGTGATGATGTGGACGTGGAGGAAGAGGAGGGCGCGGATGATAATAATACTGATGATGGTAACAGAAACAGTAAAATTATTCATGACGAAGACGATGATGATGATGATGATGAGGATGAAGATGAGGACGACGACGAGGAACAGGATAATGCTGATGCTGATGCTGATGCTGATGCTAATGATACTGATACTGATGATGATGTGGATGAGGACTATGATTATGATGCTGATGCTGCTGATGATGAATACAATGAAGATGATGAGGATGATGCTGATGATGATGTTGATGATGCTGATGATGATGGTGTGCTTCATGACATTGATGATGAGATATCGCAGATCCAGCTTCAGAAATGGGGCACACGGTAACGCGGACTAGGAATCCATGGGTCTGGCGCGTGGGCGCCACATCCACGGCTCCAGGGACGCAAGCCCCAGCACACGGCGCCAATGCCGCCTGGTTTGGCGACGGGGCGCGCCGATGTGGCATGGAAGCGCGACCCGTCGCTAATGCGCGCGCCTTGATCCGTGCTTGCGCTTCCTCCAAGACAGCCATTCGTGATTTGCGCCCTATTCTCAGATCAGAACTCTCGGCGACTCCGAAAGATAGTAGTAGTAGTAGTAGTAGTAGTAGTAGTAGTAGTAGTAGTAGTAGTAGTAGTAGTAGTAGTAGTAGTAGTAGTAGTAGTAGTAGTAGTAGTAGTAGTAAGTAGTAAGTAGTAGTAGTAGTAGTAGTAGTAGTAGTAGTAGTAGTAGTAGTAGTAGTAGTAGTAGTAGTAGTAGTAGTAGTAGTAGTAGTAGTAGTAGTAGTAGTAGTAGTAGTAGTAGTAGTAGTAGTAGTAGTAGTAGTAGTAGTAGTAGTAGTAGTATAGTAGTAGTAGTAGTAGTAGTAGTAGTAGTAGTAGTAGTAGTAGTAGTAGTAGTAGTAGTAGTAGTAGTAGTAGTAGTAGTAGTAGTAGTAGTAGTAGTAGTCTAGTAGTAGCGTGGTTTGCAAAGGGTGTGCTTTGCAACCCGCGCCCTGGGAGGCGGGTGATGACCTCGACAAGCTTCTCCGACGCGCCCGGAGGAGGCCTGGCGAGGGCAACGATGCGCCCCCCTCGCCATCGCTCGGACGTCCATTCCGTGTTTTTTTTTTCCGGTTTCGTGCGGGGCTTTCTCGCCAAATGATCAAGGATGCTCCTCGATGGTCCTCGCCGAAGGAAAAATGCACACGTCCGAGCGATGCCGAGACCCTGGAAGGCGGGTGATGACCTCGACAGGTTCCTCCGCCGCGCCCGGAGGAGGCCTGACGAGGGCAACGATGCGCCCCCCCCCCCCCCCCCCCAGCCCCAACGTCGGCTACACGCAAGAGTGACCCTTGGCAAGAGTAACCTTTGGTGCGCGACTTCTCGCCATCGCTCGGACGTCCATTCCATGTGTTTTTCGGTTTCGTGCGTGGCTTTTTTCGCCAAATGATAAAGGATGGTCCTCGATGGTTCTCGCCGAGGAAAAAACGCACACGTCCGAGCGATGCCAAGCAAGAGTGACCCTTGGCAAGAGTGATCCTTGGTGCGCGACTTGCGGGGGCCGCGGGGAGGCCGAACCCCGAGCACGCAAGACGCCGTCGTCGCATCGCGTTCAGTCTTCTGGGGACGCCCGCACCAAGAGTCGGTCACTCCGGCGAAAGGTCACTCTTGCGAGTAGCCGACCCCGGCCCCAGCGACGCAGATCGCAAGCCACACCCTGACGCAACCACACCTTTTGAAGACGCCGAACCTCGGCGGACCCACCGGGGGGGCACCCCGTCCGCTGGGGGCACAGGGACACGACTCTGGCTGCCGCTCGCCCGCCTGCACGAGTCAGGAAACCGCGCGGGCGTGGGAGGCAAGGAGAAGGGCGGAGGGGGAAGGAGGAGGAGAAGAAGGAGGAGAAGGAGGAGAAGGAGGAGGAGGGAGGAGGAGGGAGGAGGAGAAGGAGGCGGAGGAGGAAGGGGAGGAGGAGGGGGAGGAGGAGAAGAGCGGAGGAGGAGGAGGAGGAGGAGGAGGCGGAGGAGGAGGCGGAGGAGGAGGAGGAGGAGGAGGGCGGAGGAGGAGGAGGAGGAGGAGGAGGGGGAGAGAAGGGATCGGAGAGTGCCAGGGATCGTCGGACCGCGCAGGAGGCAGGAGGGCGGACGTTCGAAGGGCGAGGGACGGACGCTGAAGGCGGCAGGGGCAGGGCCCGATCAAAACAGCGTCTTCCATGCTCGTTTTGCCTACGCTTTCCCTCGCTCTGTCTTCGTCCGGCCTGTGCTGCAAAGCGAGATCAAAGCGAAAACGGCCCGCGAGAGCGTCAAAACGCCGTGGACCTCGAGCCCTGTGCGAAAGTCTCCAGTAATCCATGGGTCTCCAAAATTTCCAAGGAGGTCACCAAAAGTCTCCGGCTCCGGGCCTCCGGAGGCTGTTAGAGGCCTCGTGACCGGCAGCTCCTGGAGCCCCCCTACCCCCCCCAAGAAGAACATAAAAAGCGCAAGCCCTGAACCGTCCACGCATCCTCCAGGAAGTGGATGGGCGCGATGGTCGGGGGAGGGCCAGTTGAGACAACTGGCGGCCCTCTTGCATGGCCCGACTCTGTTCCGAACCGGCCCCAAGACACCTCCTGAGGTCCATCCAAACCCGTTTTTCTGAGCGGATCTGGTCGTCGCGACGACGAGACTCCAGGACGCTCAAGGAAGAAGGAAAACGCTAGAGAAGGCCACCGTTGTCTCGACTGGCCCTCGTCCGCCTGCTTTCGGGCAATGGCTCGGGCCCCAGGTGGCCGATCGGAACGATGCTGACATCCTCGGAGCGCCCGTGATGAGGCGTTCGCAGCTCGTAGGAGCCATCCCCGGCCTCGGAAGCATCAGAACACAAACGAAACGCTCCCGAAGACCTCCCCACAATAAGCCACACGAGTTCCGATCAAAAGTCCCGAATTATTCCGAAACATTTCAGCCTCGCCCGAAAACCTTCCCACCGTAATCATCATAGCGACAAGCCCCCTGGCCTCCTTCGAACTTTGGACGCCCAGAATGGGCAGGGAAAACAAGAGTACGCTGCCCAACAACAAATGCTGTCCAACACCGACAGCGGTAGCCCTTGGACAAGCGCCTTTCTGGCTCAAACGAACAACGTCTGCGGCGACGCCGACAACGCGTGCTATACTGGACAAAAACTGTTGTCGGTCTTCGCACACAGTTCTTCTGTGAAGACCCATTTCGATCGCACGGAGCAATGGAGAAGGAAAGCGATGGAGCATGGACATGGAGGCAAGGCAGGGAGGAAAGAGGGAAGGAGAGGGGGGAGAGAGGTGAGCGGGAAGCAGGGACAAGGAGGGATGAGAGGAAGGAGTGGCAGGCAAGAGAGGAAGGAAAGGGATGGATCGAACGAAAGAGAAGAACTGCTGTCAACAATCTTCGAGCCCATTCTTTCCGTGAGTACTGTCGGGCTTCTGACATCAGGAACACCGAATGCGGAACGAAACCCCCTTTTTGGCACCAGACGAGCCTGCTTGCACGCAGAGGGCTCGAGGAACAACCGTGGAGGGACCCAAGGAATCGCGGGCCCGTTCCGAACCCGAGCTGCTCCTTACTTCAGCGTCTGTGGAGGGGCCCCAGGACACACAAATAAATACAAACTTGTTTTTTTTGTTGATCCGCGGGTCGAGAGCGCACCTCTTCCGGTCGAAGCTCAGCGGGCCGCGCACAGCTTTAATTAACAGAAGGGGGGAAGGCAGAGGGAGGGGCCTCACGTCAAGGCCACCAATAAATACACACAAATAAAAATAGATTCCCCATAGGTTCCAACATTTTTGGGGGGTGTTCGTCTTCCCCCCACTTCCCATATTTTCCAATTTTCGGGGGAGTCGACGATGAATTGTGTCTGTGTGTTTTCTCCCCTCCTGAATGTTTTCGTCTTCCCCCCACTTCCCATATTTTCAAATTTTTCCTGGGGAATCGACGACTAATTGTGTCTGTGTGTTGTTTCCCCTCCTGAATGTTCTCACCACGACGCAGTGGCAACGGGCACGCCGCGCCACGCGGCGGGCGGCCGGCGCGCGATGCGGCAGCCCAGGGCGCCCAGGCCGCCGAGGCCGCATCAGCGCCGGCCGACGTCGGCGTCGGCGGCGTCGTCGTCGTGTCGTCGTCGTCGTCGGCGTCGTCGTCGACGACGTCTTCGTCGTCGTCGTCGTCGGCGGCGGCAGCGGCGTCGTCGTTGTCGTCGTCAGCGTCGTCGTCGTCGTCGTCGGCGTCGTCGGCGGCGGCGGCGGCGGCGGCGTCGGCGGCGGCGGCGGCGGCGGCGTGCCGAAGACGTCCTCGTGGCGACAGCCCCCCCCCGGCTTTTGGCGGCGCGCACAAGGGGGAGGGGGAGGGGAGGGGGAGGTTGCC